AAGTTATACTGCAAAGTTACTGTGATAATATAAAGTACTGGAATAAAAACAGACCTGAATATCAATGGAATAGGTTAGAAGATACCACTACAACTACAAACACACTCAGCCACCTTATCTTTGACAAAGGAGCCAAACACGTTCACTGGAAGCCTCCTTAATAAGTGGTGCTTGAAAAGCAGGCTGTCCATATGCTGAAAACTAAAACCAGACCCATGCATACCATCATACATCAAACTAAAGTCACAATGGATTAAAGATCTAAATATTGAAACAGAGACACTAAATATGCTGCAAGACAAAGTAGGTAGAAATCTTGAAGACATAAGGGTTGGCAGATAATTCATGAACAAAAGTCAAACTGCCCAGGAAATGCTTCCCAGAATCAACAACTGAGATCTTAGCAAAAAGTTTTTGTAAGTCGAAGGAAATCTCCAACAGAGTGAAAACAAAACCCATGAACTGGAAAAAAATCTTGGTCAACTGTCCCTCAGACAAAGGACTTCTGTCTAGAATATATAAAGATTTTTTAAAAAATCAGACCCCCAAAATTCAAAGACCCAATCCAAAAATGGGCATCTGAGATGAATTCACTGTTCTCAGATAAAGACATACAAAGGCCAAATAAATACATGAAAAAATGCTCAGCATCATTGGCTCTTAGAGAAATGCAAATTAAAACCACACTGAGATTCTGTCTCACTCCAGAAAGAATAGCCATGATAAAGAAAACTACCAACAACAAATGCTAGAGAGGCTGTGGGGAAAAAGGAACTCTTTCTGTACTGTTTGTGGGAGTGCAGAGTGGTGCAACCACTGTGGAAATCAGTCTGGAGGTTCCTCAAAAAGCTGGTATTGGAGGTCCCTTTTGGCTCAGCTATTCCACTTCTGGGCATATTTCCAGAAGAACTGAAAACATCACACCACAGTGATATATGTGCACCAATGTTTATAGCAGCACAGTTTGTAATAGCTAAACCCAAATGCCTATTAACTGAGGAATGGATAAAAAAATGTGGTATTTTTATACAATGGGATACTACTCAACTATAAAGGAGGACAACATTGAGGCTTTTATAGGTAAATGGGATACAACTGGAGACCATATTCATATGTGAAATAAATCATTCCATATTGTCTTCCTAATATAAGAAATTGAAAGAGTAAATAAGATACAAGATCTTCAATAAATATTGCAAAAGCATGAGAAACTGCTCAAAGAGGAAAAAATAACTCATAGAAAAGGAGAAAAGAAGGAGGAGAAAAAAAAGATACAAATTTGTATGTATACACTTAAGATTACTAAGACGATTGTACTACTAATTTTATTAGTTATTGGAACAAAACAGCTAACATCTGTAGGGTTAGATCAATTTTGCATGACTGTTTCTGGTAATTCTAGTAAGACTTTTGAAGATAACTATGTAAAACAACAAAATTAGTTATATTCTACCACCTTGTTTTGAAAGCCTACATTGTTACTGTTTTGTTATAGTTATTTATTTGACTTTTGCTTCTGATTTTTCTTATACTTTGTTTTATTTTTCCCTGTAACACAGAAATGATAGATGTACATGTATAGGTTCATAAATGCCTAAGAGTTCACCTAAAGAGTTTATAAGAATTGATTTTAGTATGTGTGATGGTATGAACAGCTACACTGTGGAAAATGAGACATCATTGTAGACATTGCTGATTCCTATCATTTTGTTTTGAAGTCTAATGATGCTTTTATTCTTGATTTTGATTGGTTTTAGTCTGGTTTTAATTATTTTATTTCAATATGTGTGAAGGCATGGACAGTTATTTTAAAGAAAACAAGAGACATTATGGTAGCCATTATTGATTTTCTATTTTCTGGTTCTGAAGACTTATAAGGCTCTCATTCTTTTATTTTTCATTGCTTGTATATTATTTTGTTTTGTATTCACTCATTTTGGGTGAAGGCATGGACAACTTTTTTGAAGAAAACAAGAGACATTATGGTAACCACTGTTGACTTCCTGTTGTCTTGTTTTGCATTGTATTTGCATTGTTTGCTCTGATCTGTTTTATTCTGTTTCACTTTGTTTTGTTTTATTCTCTTTAAAAGAGAAAAAAACTCAGAGAGAAATCAACATCATAAACATAGCAGAAAAATCTTTTTATATTACCACGCATTTCTCATCCAAAGTTAAAAAGGCCAGAATGAGGGGACACAAAGTATTCAAGTGCTGAACGAGAAGAACTTCTCACCCAGAATACTATATTCAGTAGAAATAGGCTTCTTGAAAGGAGGAAATAAGTCATTTTGGGAAAGTGTGAGAATTAGTAATCATCAGCGTTACCCTAAGAGAATGACTCAGGGAAGTTCTTAAAATAGAAAGGAGACAATAAATAGAGGAAATTTGGGACATCAGGAAGAGCAACCCTGAAACATACGGGTACATGCAAGACATTTTCCTTCTACTTTTGACTGTTTTTTTATCATAAAGAGATGAAGAAAACAATAGCCCTATCTGCCACATTCCTTAATGTATGCAACATATACAGTAAGGGACCCATATTATAACCATGAGATGGTTAAAAGTTCATAAGTAGAATTAAGTTTTCTAGATTGTATATGATCTAATAAAATGTCTAGACCAGTAGACCAGTCATTAAAGAAAATAAAGCTGCAAAATATGAAAAGAAAAACTCATAGATAGAAGACCATGAGACAAATCCACAGGGATAGTCAGGGACCTCAATCGCTCTGTAACTGGTAGAATTATACAGAAAATCATCAGAGTTACAGAGGAACACACTACACTGTCAACCAAAAGGTTTTAATTGGTATGTATGTTCCATCTCAAAGGAACGGAACACACAGTCTCACCTCGTAACCAGGGAAACTATACCAAGATGGACAATATCGTGAGCATACTCAGCAATGACAGCAAAATTGAAATCATATAATGGATTCTCCAGCCACAATGAAGCGAAACCAGAAATCTGCAAAGATTTTCCAGCCACAGTGAAGCGAAACCAGAAATCTACAACATAAGGATCCAGGAATCCATTTCCAGGTTTTTCCTAAGAAAAAGAAGCATGTAACCATACAAAGACTTGTACACCCAGTATTCACAGTAACTTCTTTGGTAACAACTCCAAACTGTTGGGAACAATCCAAGTACCCTCAGGTGACTGGAAAAGAGATTGCAGCATATCCAGATAACTGGTTAAACTTAGTAAAAATGAATAAAATATTGACCCATGCTACAGTGTGGGTGGCTTTCAAAGTCACTTGGCTTAGTAAAGAAACTAGTCAAAATACAGAGCCCTTAGCTGTTTAATTGTATCTACATGCAAGTCTAGAAATGGCAGGCTAGACCGTAGGGGCAGAAAGCAGTTTTTTTTTTTTTTTTTTTTTTTTGTCTTTTTCATTTTTATTGGTACCGGGGATCGAACTCACGACCGCCTGCTTGCAAGGCAGGTGCTTATGCTGCTGAGCTAAATCCCCGGCCCCACGTGAAGGCCATTGTAACACGCCTTGGAATTCCACCACATTAACATCTTGTCATGTTCAGGTTCAAATTCAAGGCATTCCATTATTTTACATGGAAAAAAACTCCTGTCTTTCCACCTTACTAAACATGAGACCCAGTCTCTGAAACATCATTATCATGCTCTTACTCATATGAAATGCCATAGTAATATACACAGTGGGACACTGCCCAGGGACACTGCCCATCCATACAAATATGGAAGGCCTACTGTTTGCAGCAACCTAGATGGAACTGGAGATCATCGTGTCACCCGAAATAACCCAGGAACAAAAGATAAATACACCATGTTTTCACTCCCTTGAGGAAACTAAAATAGTTGCGTCCTAGGAGAGCAGAGTGGAATAATCTAGAAATGGTCACTACAGAGTGGAAAGGGTAGGATGGGTCAGAGGAAGCTGGACTGGAATTAGACAAGGACACCAACACTGTTACAGGAGGAACTGGTTCTGGTGCTGTATGGCACAGCAGGGAGACTTTTGTCCACAACAATCTATGATCTATTTCAGAATATTTAAAGAGCACGTAAGTACCCAACACCTATGAGATAGAAGTGCTTATTGCCCTGATTGGATCATTGTGCTTTCTATTGGGGGATCACATTGAACCCCATACCTATGTGCAAATATTGTGTAGCAATAAAAGAATAAAATCCAAGTAGACTGTATTCTAATATAAACTATTTGCAACATGAATTACCCTGACTCTGCACATTTAATGCAAGACATGAGTTTCAAGAAAGGTAGAAAAAACCTAGGAGGGTCCTAGTGAGCCCTCTCCTGTGCAAGCAGCTGTCGGACACTGCATGGGTAACATTGTAAAATCAGCTGCATTTTTACAAGGAGACTTGGGAGAGGGTGAGATTGGCTCCTGGTCATAACCAGAGCTCCCGTCCAGGGACCCCAGCTCTCTGGTCCGCAGCACTGGCTAACAGCCCATCCTGCACTACCCATGCGCTCCCAGATGTAGTTGGACCTCGCAGGCTCAGAACTGGAAACCATTACATTCCTCTGACTCCCAGCTGCCAAAGCAGCCATTTCAGACACAGCCACATGAAAAGAGAGCAAATAGACATTTAGCCACTTATAACCAGGTTTCCGTTTTCTCCAGCCAGGATTTCTTCCCCTGTGCCACTAAATCCTTTCTGGAAAAGACAGGAAAGAATTGGGACTGGGAACCCCAAGGTCCATTGTCTCCCTTTCCAGGGAGTGATGTGTGCGCTTCCTTCCTGCAGGGTCGGGCTCTGCAGCCTGCTGTCCCGGATCCCGGCCGGGTGGGGAAAGCACGCGGCAGAGACTCCCACGGTGTGACCTGAGCTGCGCTCTGCGAGGCACCCTGTGACCCAGGGGACGCTCTTCCCGGATTTCCTGCTCCCGCCCTCCCCTGCTCCCACACCTGTGAACTTCCTTTGGGAAGTGCTGCTTCCTCTCTTTTTTAATTCATTTTCTAGTTCAGGCCATGTCAGGAAGTACTCACGGGTCCGCAGGCCGGTGCTGGGCGTCATGCTTAAGTTCAGGAACGTGCGTGTCCTGTGTCCTGTGGGAATCCCATGAAGAAAGACCTGGCCATGTGCCCGACTCACACTGTAACTTCATCGTAAGACACAGAATTAGGTAATGGAAATCCTCCAGGATTGTCCTCTCTTGTTAAGGTCTGCCGTTGTGACCCTGGAAGTGTTCCATTTTTATAAAATGTGATAATTATCAGTTCAGGCCACAGCTCTGCAAGAACTTTAATTGGGAATGGATGGTCTATTTAGGGACTGGTATAGCTCAGTATCTGAGTTTGCTGGGTCTTCCAACTGATGACCATTCTATGTATTTTAGTTTATTTAAATTATAATCTTTAATTTTTCTCAGTAAACTTGTATTTTTAGTGTGCATGTTTGCATATATTTGTTCACCTTATTGCTGTGTATTTGACATTTTCATACTAAATATACCAACATTTATTTTTAATTGATGCTATTTTATTGTAATTGATTTTTGTATATTATCCTAGAAGCCTTAAATGTTGCCAAATTCACTCACTATTTTTAATAATCTAATAAATCCCATTATATATATATATTATACACACAATTATGCCATTTGCAAAGTTTTATTTATTTTATATTTACCTCATACGTCTAGCTGGACTTCCATGTGATTCATTATTGAGTAAGAATGGTAAAATTTACAAATTGTCTCATCTGTTATTTGTCTAAAAATGTTTTGATGTAAACTTCAAAGAGTAATTCCAGCAGATCTAGAGGTCTTGGTTAGTTTCTTTACTTGTTGCAGCATTTTAAATATTTATTTTCTTCTGGTTTGTAATGTTTCTGTTAAGTAGTAAACATTCATCTTCATCTTCAGTCACCTGCATTTAATGCTGTTTTCTCTTGCTGTTTACTCTCGAGGCATCTTTTCTTTATCTCTGGACTTCTGTAGTTTGTGTTTTGCTATGACTGTCAGTGTTTTCCTTATTTAATGGCTCACTTAGATTCTTGTATCTGTGGATATACTGCTTTTATAAAACTTGGGAAAAAAGCATTATCATAAGTATTTTTTACTCTTTTTCCAGGACTCCAAATATAAGCATTTGACACTGTGCACAATTTAAGGAGTCTGTCTGCATTAAAAGAATTTAATATGTTCCCTTGTGTTGCTCCTAATCGGCTGTTAATCCTATCCAGTTATACATTTTTATTTCCAACTCTGTATTGCGTATTGCTAGGACTTTCACTGACTTGTTCGTGCCTTCAGGTTCTCCTCTTACTTGCTGTCTGCTTATTTCTTGCACATAGCTGCCAATATCAGAGTCCTTGCCTCCTAATTCAATTATTTCTGGCACTGTGGTTTTATTATGGTATCTGTTAACTGATCTTTTCCCCCAGTTTCAGCTCGCTGGTTTTTCTCCCTGCCTTATCACACATCGAACAAACTTTAACTGGGAGCTAGGACTTATAAATATTACATCCTCAAATGCCTGGATCGTGATTCCTTTATTTAAATTGTGCTGGATTTTCTTTGACAGGCACTGACTTATTCGGAGATTATGAGCTTTGTTAGACTGGATCTAGCTGAGCCTTCACGGAGAAGCATGACTGCTCTGGTAAATGCGTGGGCTTGGAGTGCATGATTCACAGAAGCGCGATGGGAGGGAAGTTAGAGAATTCTGTCTGTATTATTTGACTGTCACTCTTCTCACTAAGCCTACGCATGGCCTAAAAGTTGTGGAATTCAGTGCTCCCTTTACGTCCTTTAACACCAGGCTTCTATGCCTGGTGTTTCTCTTCCTTAAAGGGTTGTCCTTCTTCTGTTTTGTCAAATTCATTTTGCCTTGCTTTTCCTACTTCATATCTTTGCTCTCTGCACCACTGCATTCTCTCCCCTGCCCTACTTTTAAATAAAAAATTTCTTTGTGATATTGTGCATGGTCTGTGTAGGTGCTTTAGACACTAATAGCAAAGTACCATTGGAATCAGTTTAATAGGAATCCCTGCACTCTCAGTGTCTGATCAATCATGGCACCTAATTAGGTGCTTTGTCCTCCAGCACCCCCTAAGTAATGTCTGATCACCTGGCTTATCTTCAGCAAGAATTCTCTTGAGTCGTGCTGGGCAGAACGCCCCTTGCTCCTCATGTTTTCTTCTAGTAATTTTCCATTTACCGACTCCTGCTAGAATCTTGAGCGTAGCATCTCACTTGCCCATGCTGTGCTCGGGTTAATCCCAGTCTGTCTTCCCCACTGCAGCTCCTCATAGCAGTGACTCCTACACCTACCACAAAATGGGTTAACACCTTCCTGGCTATGTGCTCACGAGTGCCATTGAAAAATTTTCCTTTCACAGCTTTCATCATTCATTTCAAGTGTCATTAGGGTGACCTCCAAAGTGCCCAGGTTCAGTCTCTTCCAACTGATTCTTTGTAGGATTTTAAAATTCAAATGTTATTCTTTCACCCTCTTGTTCAACATTTGCAAAAGGCATCTATTATCTTTGAGAGGCAGCCCAGACTTTGAAATACGACCCCACCATCTTCAATACTATGGCTGTTGTCTGTCCTTACACCTTCCATTTCTTCCGTGTTGACACAGGAGGCCCTGTGTGCTTTCTATCTTGGTCTAGTTGGAGGTCTTTGAAAACAGGAAGCTTGGCTTGTCTTCTTTTTAACACCTGGCCTTACAATGCCCAGTCCCAACACAGGCAGGGAAGGTGTCACCGGGATAGGATGCTGTACCTACTCTCCTAACAAGCAGGGGGTCTGACCCCTTCTGGCGCCCTTGCCTCACTCTCCACTGCACCATCGTCCTCAGTAAACTCTCGCTTGCTCGGCTATGTCTCCCACTACACTCTGAATCTTTTCGAGGCCGGCTCAAGCTCAACACCAGAAAATAAGATCTAAGTGCCCTTGGAGAGGAAATGACAAATAGTCTATATCACTAGCAGGAAGGGTGAGCCAGTGTAATGGGCTGGTAACTGGTGGGCAACTTAAGCACCGGCTGAACTGTCAGTGTGGTACTGACTGTAGCTGGTCCACCTGCAATTCGTTGCCATCATAAAAAAAAGAGACAAGGGGAGGAAAAGTGTGGCGGTGTGGGTGCTTCTAAGTGTTGTTGTTTGGAGCTGTTGGTTCTCCTGGAGAAGCTTGTTGTGCCTGGTTTCCCTGATATGAACTCAGCTGTTGTCATTGGAGGAGCTCAGGACCTTGTGGCTGACAGTGGCTGTGATTCATTTTGGGGGAGCTCTGGTCCTTACTTTGAGCATCGCTTTCTGGCTCTGGAGGGGAAGATATGTGCTGTTTAACCTTCAGGAGAAGCTTGTCACACTGGCTTCCTGACATGTACTCAGGTGTGCCCATTGTTGGAGGAACTTGGAACCTCACTGTCACTGAGCATGGCTGTGGTACATTTTGGGGAAGCCCTGGTCCTTATTTTGAGTGTCACTTCCTGGCTCCACTGTAGAATGCTCAGTCTGCTGGCACAGATCCAGTACCCTGTTTGCACAGACTTTGCTGCTGACCTTTGGACCTTCCTAGTGCAGATCCCTGAAACAGACTTGCATGAGACATTTAGGTTTTCAGCAGACTCACAGAGGTTATTGCTATGGGATCCCAGCCCTCAGCTGGATATTCTAGGTCTTTAGTGTTGTAGACAGATTTCCTGTACTTTCTTTGCATTTGACTCCATAGGTGACCATTATAAATAATACTATAAATTTTATGTACTGTATATAATTGTTCTCTTTGCAAATCCTGACTATCACAGTCAGTATTGAGTAGTGTGCCCATTAATACTTGATTACAGTTTGACTTGTAGAGAAATGAAAAAACAAAAACAAAATATATCTGATCCTAGCCAAGCCTTGATATCAGATAAAGAATATTAAATCAGAGTTCCTACTTCAAGTAGAAAGTTCCTACTTCCTACTTTTTAAGTCATCACATAATCTGAGCTTAATTTTGAAAATAATTATATTGAAAAGAAATGCAGAACAACCTTATTCAAGGGAATGAGAATGACCACCTCTTCCTCAATACTGTTTCCGGAATAAATAGTGAATAAAAGCATGTACTTTGGAGTCCTTGAAAAAGGAAGGAGAAAATAAAGCCTGGCAAAGCATTTACATTTCAAATGCAGATGATGAAAAATGCATGGGAGAAGCTGTTCAGTGTGAAATGCGGAAATTTGATGCCAGGGCTTCCTGCCACTGGAGGAGGAAGCCCGCAGGAGGAGGGGAAGGTGAGGGGTCTGGGGCCTCAGAACTGCGACATCACTGTCCCTGGTGCTGGAAGTCCTGGGAAGGTAGCACTGACTCCTTCACCTTCTACATTTTCTGTCAAGTAGCAGGGATTGATGTAGATCAGTGATTTTCAGGATCTTTTTCTCGTTGAGATTCCTGTTCCTGCTGAAGTCATTGGAGATGTTCTTCTATGATCTGTCAGTAGAGGAGAAAGTGAAGCCCTTTTCCTTTAGGACCAGCTTCAGGCAGCAGCTGAGGTCACTGGCTGTGACTTTCAGTGGCTCCAAAAGTCCCCTGGTAACCATCTGCCTTGGCTCTTCAGACAACTAGGATCATGGTACTTTCCCCTTAGATCCATTCATACACTACTCATTCATTGAAAATGACTTTTTAATCTATCTCCCACAGACTTTCTGATGGTCATATGAATCTCTAATTCTCTGTATCAAATATATCCTTACTCAAAATGTTATGAGGCTTCTGATTCTCTAAATGAGCACTTACTAACACAACATTTGGTTTTAGAAGGAATCTGGAGGTCATGAGAATGTTAATTATAAGAATTCAAGATGAGTTATCTAGCTAGGTTGGATTGGAAAGTCAGAATAATTTTACTTCATTGGGGCTGGGGATTTAGCTCAGTGGCATAAGTGCCTGCCTTGCAAGCGCACAGTCATGAGTTCGATCCCCGGTACCAAAAAGAAAGAAAAAATTTTACTTCCTTGACAAACTGATTATTGTTGTGAAGGTGTTGAGGACACATGGAGGATGGGGTGAGAAAGTTGTTTATTACTCCTGGGAATATAATGAAAAATGAAACAACTCTG